ACCCATGACCCTCTGCTGGAGAGGTGGTAGGTCAAACCATTAGGTTAACACGGGTTTTTATTCACAATGTGTATTGTACAATTATTGCCTAACGTATCGTCAGGTCGTTGAATATTGTATGTATGTAAATACTTTTTTGTATCACAAGACGAATGACACATGATTATATTGATACAATACATTTATTTATTCATTATATGGATAACAAAACTGATAACAATCAAATACATAGTAAATATGATATATCAAAGTTCTGTACTAGATCGTAACCCTACTTATGTTGACACATCATTCCAAAGTAACAAGAAAGAACTACTGTTAAATTTGCTGTTAATTTACTTATTTACTTAATACTAAAGCGTCAAGGGAATGGGTGAAAATCTATACAAGTGCAAGTTGCTTTACTACTCGTCCGCAAGTAAAACGTCTTGTTGGGTATTCGGGGGTTGCGTCTTTTAGAGAGAGCTATTTTATTTAAGAGGTAAGGAGAATCAATCTCACCATGAAGAACCTTGTGCAAGTATGTGAGGACCTGTTTCTTACGGTGAACTTATAAGGAGGTCACTTTAAATTCGTCAAGTCTCACACTATAGCCAACGAGGCTGCGGCCATAACCACATTTGTAACTAAGTATCCTAAGTGCTTTTCTCTGAACGCTTTCTACACTATCCGAGTGGACTGAGTAGCAGCGAGACCAGATGACACAAGCATACCCTAAAATACTACGGACAAGGCTGCAAAAGACGGTCAGAAAACTTTGAGCCCTTTTGAAACCCTTGGTGCATCTTGTTATGAAGCCCAGCAATTGAAGGGCTTTGTTCTTAATGTATGCATAGTGTTCACATCCAAAGGCGATCTTAAGCCATAAAGGTATTTCTTTCAACTAACCTTTAACAACGGAGAAGATAGTTGGTTCATAAAAGGTAAGTTAAAAATAGTTAGAAATATCGGTACAGCAAAAAAGTAGTTTAAAAATCCTGCATAAAAATCCGCAAAGAAATTCATAAGATCTGCTGCCTCGATCCGTAAGCTTAGCTGGTTGAGCGGTAGCCACGTTGAGGTGACAGATGCTGGTTTAAGTCCAGTCGGGTCGAAGAAATTTTTCTTCTTTCTTGAGTCTTGTTGAAAATTCATTGAAAATGAGCTTTGGTTGGTTTGATAAGAGCAAAAATATAAAAATACAAAATAAATACAAACACAAATTATTTATTGTTCTTTTCCACCTTAAGCGCTCAGTTACACGACGCGAAAGTTATCGCGCGGCCACTGCCCAGTTGCTACGGTTTCATGTACATTAATGGCGAATCTGAATTCTATTTACTAGCCAACAATACTTAAATTGCTCTGAATAATACAACTGCGCGGTCGCCGCCCGGCCGCAGCGTAGACCATATTCAAGCTAGACTCGCCCGCGCGCCCGGGATGTTCATTTAAGTTAAAACGTAAATGCTAAACAAGTAGAGCGTATTTTGCCATGATAGTTAGACGCAAGCGATCGCTGCGCGGCGGTTGCGCGTGGTGAGCGCGATGAAATTCTTATCGAATAAATGCGCTCTAACCCCCCGTTCACAAGGCATTGTACTGCACGTTTTTTTGCAGTAAACATAATTTAATTGTTATTTCTTTAATTTTAGAACGCTTAAAACGAATCCATTCTCGATTCACCTAGCATCCACTTAATACTTTTCCCAGTGAACTAATTGGGAGACCGACCTGTTTACAAACCTCTTCTCTCTAATCGTGAATTCTGTTGTTGGAGAGTAGGCCGGTACACTACGGCAAACTAGTCGATTACCAAGCGTCATGTAACAGGTGTGTTTTGGACCTCTATTATGGGTAAAGCGTTAAACAAGCAGCTATTTTACTCAGGTGTCGACTACAGTTTACCCTGAAAGATAAAATATGTTTATTAAGATAGTATTTTAAGTATTTACTTGATAATAAATAAAGAAAGTCTTGCACTACATTATGACTACGTAAACATCTAAAAATTCTCAACATTTAATTAAGTAACCGGCTTTAAAAAAAAGGAAGAGTTTCTCAATTCGAATGTCCTTTTTTTGGGTATGTACGCGATATCTAATTTGTAAACAGATTTTGATGATTCTTTATTTATTGGAAAGAGGGTACCTCAGTATCGGTCCCATTTAAATTTGAAGAAAATATTCCAAATCGAAGGGTGGCAAACTAGGGGATAAATCCGGTTTCGCGCACTTTCCGGTAACCGATTTCAATAAAACTTGGCAAATAAATACAATTCCACGAACATTTGAGGTCGGTTTGTTTAATAAGTACTCAGTACTGATTCATAAAAATATTACTATTTTTCTAAAGATAAATTAAATTTTCATAAATGTTCGGTGACGATTATGAATGAATGATAAGTTTATAACACTTAAGTAAGCCTAGTGGCTTACTTACGAGTAAAATACAAAGTTTTGTTATTGTTATGCACATTGTGAGAGTGTGGTGTCCGTACTGGGGTTAAGCCTCTCTCATTATTTTCACGATAGCATCATAGAAAGTATATTGTTAATCTTTTTTGGTAGAGGTACAAATAAATTACGCAGGTATTATAAAGGTTATCGCGCATGTTTTCCGCCTATAATTACTTATAACTCTGCGCCAACGCCAACCTACAATAATTAGGAAACATTGCATATTGGTCCGTTTATGCCCACCGAGTACTGCGAGTGCGGCTTTTCGGGCGCACCTGCTGGTGTAATAAAACATTTTATAGCCAACAAATTTTGCGCCGGCAACTTTACCCAATTCTCCCTTTCATCCTGATAAATCGTTTATAAATTCTTACTCTGGTTTGATGTTACAAATGATAGGCAATGGTCGAAATATGGTGTTCCGAATGAGTAGATAAATATCTACATCGGTTCCGGAAATCATTTTACTGCACCGTAGTATAAAACTACTTATTTAGACAGCCGAAGTTGGATTTTAAAGTAATTCTAGAGGTGCCATGTAAAAAAAATGTTAGATAATTAACGTTTCACTAAAGTAAACATGTTTTATGAGCCACAAGCAAAAGTAAACAAAAACTACTGCGGATACTATTTATTGTCATTATATTTATGTCTAAATTCATTACATTTAATTATTAATTCAAAAACGTCATTT